GGCAGCCGCTCCCGGGGGAGCTCGCGTGGCGCGAGCCGCTGGGCGTCCAGGCCCCGCTCAGGCCACGGCCTGCCCCCCCCCCCGGGGCGTGTGGCCCCCCCCCCCCGGGGCTCGCAGCGCTCTGGCCGTGGCAGCCCGGCTGGCCCTGCAGGGGAGAGCCCAGCCCGGAGCGCAGTGCCCCCGGGCGGAGTCCAGCGGGCCAGTCCCCGCCGAGCCGGGATCCAGGCGGCGTCCTGTTCGTGGATGTGACTTGGAAGACTGTCTGCTCTGCTCCCTCTCACCCGCCAGGCCTGCAGAAGCGTGGAAGGGCGATTCGGGGCAAGGAGCAGCTAGCTTTGGGCTGTGCAGCTGAAGGAGCCCACGCACCCACCCAAGGCCCCCCTCCTTGGTAAGACCGCTATCCCCGGGCCCAACAGGATCTGGGCTCTGGCAGGATCTGACCCGCTGCCTGGTGGGCAGCGCCTGCCCTTCTGGCCTCCCCAGGCCCCGATGTGCTGGGGGTGGTGTGGCTGCTTGCAGGAAGCTTCCGAGGCCGCGTCTCCTACATCCCGAAGCCTGAGCACGGGGTTAAAGCGCGACGATGCTGAAGTGCGCAGTGCATGGTTTCATGGCGCGGCCAGCTCCCGAAAGCGAAGCGCCTCCCGGGAGTGTGGGGCGAAGGGGCAGTGTGGAGGCCGGGCCCCCACTGCCCCGGGGGTGACGTGGCCGGTGCCCATCCTCAAGCTCTCTTCCTTCTGCTTCCTTTGCCCCGCCAGGCGTCCTCACCCCCTCGGGGCCACCATGTCCCTCCCCAAGGGCGAGGGGGGGGTGCCCCCGCCTGCGGGCTTCGCAGCGCACGAGACGGAATGCAGGATCTGCTACGAGCACTTCGACGGCCGCACCCGCCAGCCCAAGCTGCTGAGCTGCCGGCATCGCGTCTGCGCCCGGTGCCTGCGCAGGATGGCAGAGGAGGGCGAGTCGCCGGGCCGCCTCCGGTGCCCCTTCTGCCGCCGGGAGACGGTGGTGCCGGAGAGGGAGGTGGCGCGGCTTCCGGAGGACGGGCGGGTGCTGGCCCTGCTGAGCTGCCGGGAGCGGGCCCGGAGGCAGGGCGCGGCCGGCCGCTCGCCGGAGGTGCTGCTGTGCCCCGGCGTGCTGGAGCCCTTCGCGGAGGGCCGGCATGGCTCCTCAGACTGCCTGGTCGTCACTCTCCTGGAGCTGCCCGAGGATGTGGCGGCCCCCGAGGGGGCGGGGGGCCCGGGCGTGCTGCGCCTCTCCCGGCCGCCCAGCCTGGCCTCGCTGGCCAAGTGCCAGCCCTGCCGCCCCGCCTGGCCGGCCGCCCCGCGCTTCCTCGTGGGCGTGCTGTGCCTGGCCTACCTCAGCTCGCTGCCCCTCGGCATCTACCTCCTGCTGGTGGAGCGCCTCCGCCTGGGCCTCGCCCTGGCCGGCCTCGTGCCCGCCACCCTCCTCGCCGGCGCCTGCTGCTGCCTCTGTCGGTGCCTGTGCCCCAAGCGCCTCGGCCTGCCTCCGTGAGCACCGGGGGGCAGGGGCTCCTGGGCCCCCACCCCCTCCCCGCCTCCGGCTCGCCCTGCTCAGCGCCTCCCCGCCTGAACCAAGGAGGATGCGTCTGCGGCAGCTGAGGACCCGCCCTGGATGTCTCCAGCGGGGCTAGAGCCCCCGGTGGTCTCCTGCCTCAGCACCTGTGAGCGACGGGCGGCGGTGCTTCTGCACAGGTGAACGAGGCCGTGTAGCACGGAGACGAGGCTGCCCGCTGGCAGGGGCTCGGGCGCACCGGCCCCTGCTCTCATTTCCTCCCCAGGCGGAGTGCATTGCCCCTCCTTCAGACGGGCCCCCTGGACGGCGACACAGCTCCTGATCGTCCAGAACTTCAGGGTCGGTCCTGAGCCGGACTGCAGAGGGGCAGCCCCACTGGTGGCAGTTGGCCGCTGTGCAGAGCAGCCCTCCGCCTGCCACGGACCCCCGGTGGCCAGCCCCCCTGGAGGTGGCCAAGAGCGCCCGGCCACGCGCTCGGGTTCCCAGAGGCGTCTGGCCGGCCCCTGCAGGGAGTGGGGTGCTGGCTGGCCCGGCCCACGGTGGCCCGAGGAAGCGCCCTGCTCCTGTGACCGCGCCCCCAAAGAAATAAATTCTGCTCCTGCTGACCAGGCCTGCCTAGGGGGCTCCTTGCCAAGGCGGCGGCGGAGCAGCAGTCAGGAGCACCTCTGCTGTGTCCCAGGAGTGGGCGTGGGGCTGGCCGGGACGGGGCGGCACAGTGAGGTAGCCCTCCCTCCCCACAGGGCAGGACTTGCTCGGGGGCCTTGGGGGCGAGGGGAAGCACGGAGGCCAGGGTGCCGCCACGGCCCCTCGTGTGGCCGCTTGCCTGCCTCCTCAGGAGGCCCCTGCTTCCCTGGCCCCCTTTTGCCCAGAAAGGAGGCCTCCGACCCCTCGGGGGGGCCTCCACGCGGGGCCTCCAGCCAGCGCAGCCTGAGTGGGTGGGTGGGTGGGTGGGGGGGAGTCGGCCTCTCGCAGGGTTGCCCAGCCGGGCCGTTTCGGGAAGCAGCGTGGTGCCTCGCAGCGTGTGCTGCCGTGCAGCTGGCCGCGCAAGCGTGGTGGGAGCTGGGGCCCTGGGAGCCGGGCCGGGGCATCGCCCGCGGGGGCTCGCTGGGCGGCATCTCGGAAATCGGAGTGAGCGGCAGAGGCGCCTTTTGAGGCATGTCCCCCACATTGGACCGCGCGAAAGAACGGCCCGGTCGAGGAAGTGGCACACTGCCCAGGGCTGCAACATTTCGAACGCGTGCGAATTGGCACAGAGGCAGCCGGGGGGGGGGTGCCCTTTTGAGCCGGGGCTCAGCCCCGCTCCCACCTCTTTCACATTCTGGGGGACGCCCCGGATGCACTTTGTGGGGGCTCACTGCGCAGCTTGCCTTCGGGTGGAGTTCAGGCGGCTGCTTCAGAGAGAGCCACCCGCAGCACGACCCGGGACCCTGGGCCCCACGAAGCCCAGCGCAGCTGGGGTGGGCGCCCTTCCGCCTGGGCTGCCCGAGCGCCAGTGCTTGGAGGAGACCAGTGTGTGGGGCGTGTTTGGGGGAGCCTCCAGCGGGAGCAGAGGCGGGGACTGGTGGGCTTCCTCTCCCGCAGGAGGGGAGCGAGGGCAGGGGGCAGGCGTCCTGGGCGTCCTGTGCAGAGGTCAGGGCAGGGTGGAAGGATGAGCGGGCAAGCCCCGCAGCCTCCGTTCGGGACTCGCTTGCTTTTTCCTGTTTTTTTTCGGGGCACTGAAGAAGCTGCTCAGAGTCGGGGTTCCCACTGGCTTGGACTGGCCCCAGTGCCACAGAGCCAGGAGCTGGGCCGCCTGGGCTGTGTCCCGAGGTCCCAGGGAGGCTGCGCGACGGCCCGGATCACGACAGGCATGGGCCAGCGCAGGGGAGAGTCCCTCCGGCACGCGGCAGGGCTCAGAGGCCTCGAAAGGCGCTGTGGGCAAGGACGATCCGGCACCTGTTGCGTGGCCCGCTCCTCCCTCTGGCTGGCTCTGGGCCTGAAAGAGCAAGGGGGGGATGAGAAGCAGGGGCTTCTTGCGAGCGAGCAATGGGGCCCCTGGGCAGGGCGTGTTGTCGAGGCCCTCCTGTGGGAGCTTGAGCCAGGCTCTGAGGCAGCCTCACCTCTTGCCTGGGGCTCAGGCTGCTTTGATGGCCAGATTTTCATGGCACCAGACGATGGGTGGCCCGCAGGCAGGCCCCGTGCTGGAGACCCGGCCTGCTGGCTTCTGCCTGGGGGCTCAGGAGGCCCTGACAGGCCTCGGGAGGAGATCCGGCGTGTGTGCTCCAGGCTGAAGCAGCGAGCATGGCAGCAGGTGGGTGGCTGCTGCTCCTGAGTGCAGACACCCGGCAGTCTGAGCACCTGCGGTCTGTCTGTCGCCCTTCCCACGGAGGCGGGCGGGCAGGCGAGCGATGGGGTCTCGCTCTTTGGGTTGGAGGAAAGCCATCCATCTGCACCAGGGATGCAACGGGGTCAAGGCTTGGTCTGGGGGCCTTTGCAGTGGGGCTGGGCAACTCGGGACCCAGCCGCTCCCATCAGCCCCAGCAGGGCTTGCCCATAGTGAGTGACACTGGGCCTTGGAAGCTGACACGCCTGCAGGCAGCAGTACGGGGCTCTCCCCGCTGGATGCCCCGAGTGGAAGGGTGTGAGCCCGTGTCCTGCAACAGCGGGGTGGGGGGGACCTGATGGCCTCCTCCAGCTCTGCCCTTCCCAGATTCTCTCCTTCAGGAGGTGGTGGCTGCCCTCAAGGGGCATCTGGCCTGGGCATGTTGAGGGGGGCTGACAGTGGCTGTGCCAACACTGAGGAGAGGGGGGCTGCTGGGGGGGCGGGGGAAGGTGCGCAGAGCAAGCAGGGTCTGGTGAGAGATTCCCGCACGAGCCACGCTTGTCCAGCCCATGTCGATCCAGGACTTGGCCACCAGACAGCTGAGCAAACCACGTCGCTTCGCTCCGATTCCTGGGTCCAGCTGTTTCTGCCCCTGCACCACTTCCGGGATCTTGCCTGCCTTCACAGAACGGGAGGAGCGGATCGGGAGGGGCGGGGGCTTTTCTCGGCCGTTTCAAGTCCGCTGCTCCCCGTCCCTTGACCCTCCGCTCCCCACGGTTCCCCGATCTGGGCCCCGCACGCCAGCCGCCCGGGGCCTGCTGCCAGGCTGCGGACTCTGCCTTGTGGGCAGCCCTGGGGGGGGGGGGGGCAGCAGTGCGAGGCGCTCACGATGACGGCCGCGGCTCGGCAGCAGCACCCCCACTGGCCATCCTGGGCAAGGCAGGCAGGGCGGTGCCCCAGCCCCCCCCCCCCACACACAACTCCTCGCCTTCCAGGGGGGTGTCTACTGGCCTGGCAGGGGCCACTTCCAGGAAGAGTTTGCAGGGTCAGTGCGGTGGGGCTCCAGCCCCCACCCGGAGAGCACCGAAGGAAAAGCGCGGAGCTGCGGCCACGGAAGGGCTTTTATTGAGCATCGTGGAAGGGGGCTGAGAGGGGGGCCGGGACCCCCTCGGCTGGGGTCAGTCCCTGCAGCTGTTCCCCGCGTGGAGGCTGCCTGTTCCCTTCCCGCAGGATGTGTCCAGGTGGGAGTTCTCTGGGGCCGGCCATGCGGTGGCCCTGGTAAACGGCAGGATGGAGGGGGAGCGCTCCCCGCTCCCCTTAGCCCCCACCGCTCCAACCTCGCGGGGAGCCCGGGGACCACCGGCCCTCAGAGGGCAGCCCCCGCAGGCCGGCAGCCGACTGCCAGCTCGGCCACGCACCAGATCTTGGGCTTCGGGGGCAGCACGGCGGTCCCTGGGGGCGGTCTGGTCTCGAGGCGGGGGGCGCTGGCGGCTGCGGCGGGCCCCGCGGCCTCCGCCCCGCCGCCCCCCTCCGCCTCGCCCTCGCCCTCCTCTTCGCCCCCCTCCGCCGGGGGGAGGCGGGGCCCCCAGCGCGCCCGGTTCTCCTTCTTGAGGCGGCGGCGGGCGTTGGCGAACCACGTGGAGACCTGCGTCAGGGTCATGCTGCTCAGCACGGCCAGCAGCACCTTCTCGCCCTTGCTGGGGTACGGGTGCTTCCGGTGGCGGCCCAGCCAGGCCTTGAGCGCAGCCGCGCTCTCCCGGGAGGCGGACGCCTTGGCCCGCAGCGGATCGTCGGCCGTCCCCGGGCGCCCCGGCGGCGAGCAGAAGGCGGCGCGGGGCCACAGCAGCGGCGGCCCGCCGGGCAGCGCGTACGCGGCCGAGACCTGCAACAGAGAGGCGGGCGCGGCTGTGGGCGGCGGCGGAGGCCTTCTCGGGCCGCGTCCCGCTCCGGTCCCCGCGCGGCGCAAAGCGGCGCGGGTGGCGGGAATGCGCTCGGCGTCTGCGCAGTCGTGGCGCATCCCGGAAAACCGCGGCGTTGCTCCAGGCGAGCGGCGAAGATGGACGGGCGACTCAGGGCGCGCGGGCTGAAAGGGAGCCGCGGGCTGGCGGGAGGGAGCGACCCCAGCGCACCAGAGCCCCCCAGTGCGGCGAGCCTCCCCCCGGCCTCGTGCGCCCCGGCCCAGTGACTGGACAGCTGGCCCCGTGCACGGTGCGGCCGCTTTGGGGCCGGGCCGGAGGACCCGTTGCTGCAGGACAGGCCTTGGAAGGGCCCTCCGACCCTGCCCGGCCCGCCGCGGCGGAGGGGGGCAGCAAGCGCGCTCCTCCGCCCCTCGATGCTGGGGCGGCCGCTGCTGAGTGGCCCTAGGGGCCCTGTCCGTTCGGCTCCGCGATCCCTGCTCCGCCCGCCGTGACGCTGCCTCGCTCCAGAGGCCTCCCCGCCTCGCGTGCCCGGGGAGGGTCGCCTCGGCCTGTGGCTCCGCCGCCCGCGCCAGCCGGGCTGTTGCGGCGGCCGCCTGCGGTTTCTTGTTGCCGCATCCGGCTTCGCTCCGGCCGGGCAGCTGCGAGGAAGGTCGGGCCTCAGTGGAGGCGCTGCCCGGCCCTCCTGCGGGTCGAAGGCACCGCGGACCACCCTCTCGGAGCGGGAGGGGCCGCGGGAGCCCTCGGCTCCTGCAGCGCTG